GTTTCCTTCAAAGGAATAGGAATACTCTCTACTACAAGTATCGATACCCTTATACAACATACAATATCATTTTCTACCTATAATATTGTATAAAAATATCAATATTTATTTTCTACCTAGAATATCACTTTCTACCTATAATCGGTCATAAATCCTTCTTTACTTCGAAAACCCCAAACCCATAAACCTAATACCTATTTCCGAATATTGCAATACTAAAAGACTAGGGTTTCGACAACATACTTTTCGATTCGATTGCAGCAACAAACAAACAACTACGCTTTCAAAAATGCCTTGTTTATATTTCGCAGCAACTAATATGCTTCAATTTCAAAAACTACGGTTGTCTTCTATCTATTTTAGAGAAATGTATATATGCCTTTGATATTTAATCGGATATGTTATTTAAATTTAATCGATACCATTACCCAAGTCTCGATACTTTTGTGCAAGGTATCGATACTTTCAATAAATTTTCATTTTTTTTCATTTCTTTTCAATTCCTAAAGTACCGATACTATGATACATATACTTATAAAAGTATCGATACATTCAACATATCCGGTAGCGCTTTACCGGTTTTTTCATATTGAAACTGGTTTTGTCAAATTTTAACAAGTCATAGTGTCATGTATCGATACATGTGTCTAAGGTATCGATACTTTATAGGCGGTATTATTGCAATTCATTTAAATTCCTAAAGTACCAATACTTTGGTGCATATACTTATAAAAACATCGATACAAATTTCAACCATTTTGGTATCTCTTTATAAGTTTTGTCAAACTGAAACCGGTTTTTGTCAAACTTCAACCTTTTATATTGTTATGTATCGATACATGTGTGTAAGATATCAAAACTTTCGAGATATTTTCCTTTTTTTCATTTCTTTTAAACTCCTAGAGTATTGATACTTTGGTACATATACTTATACACGTATCGATACAAATTTCAACAATTCTGGTAGCTCTTTACTGATTTTGTCAAATTTCAACCGGTTTTGTCAATTTCCAATCGGTTTTGTCAATTCGTTACTTGTTTTGTCAAATTGAAATCAAATTTCTCAATTTCAACCTGTTATTCTCATGTATTGATACATGTGTGCAAGGTATCGATATTTTATAGACGTTTTTATTGCAATTCTTTTGCATCACTAAAGTACCGATACTTTTATACACATACTTATAAAGGTATCGATACATGTCTACTTTTAACCGGTTTTCATCACTTTCTTATATATTACTATATATCGATACTTTTATGCACGTATCGATATCTACTAATAAGCTAAGTTTTCCGGTTGTTAAATTTTTTAATATTTCTTCATGTTTCCACCTACAACATTATTATTAGTCAACATTTTCGATAGCGCTAAACCGACTTTGTTAAGTATCTTATTAAATTTCCAGTCACGCCGTTTCTTAGCCGTATATTAGTCGGCGTTTCCTGAGACACCCCTATGTGTAATGACTTTTTTCCAAGGACCATGATGATTTTCACATGACAGTATGTCCCCTGGTCTTCTCCTTACAATTTTATTCAAGTAAATACTAGAAGGCTCTACCATCTCAATCATGCATGTAATTATTTGATTTAATTGAAAACAAATATATTTAGAAGATCTGAATCCAAATAATATTACTAGGGTATTATTGAGAATTGATACAAGATTCAAATCTAATAGGTTTCAATCTGACTTGACCTTATTAAATAGGATTTTGAAAAAAAAAGGTCTGAGTTAAGTTTAGATTTTAGAGATTATGTTCGAATCGAATTCAGATTTAAATTTAGAATGAAATATATTTCACTTGATTCAAAAAAGAAATATTTTATCTTATATATTTAGAGGAATTATAATAACATCCCTCTGTATATTATCATTTTTAATTAAATTTTTATTTTCATTGAATAAAGTAATTTTTTTATAATATATTACTTCGGTTCAGATTCAATTCAAGTCTTATCTAAAAAAGACTAGTGAAATTCAAATAGGGTAAAAGGTGTAAATTTCCCAGATCGAATTCGGATAGAAGAAAAATAATTTCATATTGAATTGACCGAAAACTTTACTCATACCCATCCCTAATTATTTCGTTGGATGCTCCGGCAATAGAGTTGGAAAAAAAATATCTAAATAACGTTACTTTTGATTTGTAATGAAATTCTGTAGCTCCACAAGGCGAAGATCTGTCTAAAAGGTTCCATATTTTGGAAGCCTGCCGTCTTCATTTTCAGGTCTTGAGTTGCTTACAAAATTTCAGCTCAGTTGTTTCCATCATATGAAGATAGCATAATATCTGTAAGGAATTGTCCATACCTTGTACCCTGTCTGAATTTGTTATTTCAAAGAATTAACTCCAGTTTTAATATTCGGTCTGTCTCATATGGGGCAACAGGCAGGTCGACAATGGTTAATTCTATCGACATGCTTCAAAGGCCACAAATCCATTTACCATATTCACAGCTGAATCTACCGTCTTGGCCAATTCAACGGCTGCACCAACATACGAATGTGGTGTTGACTTCATTAGATCGGTCTTTAGCTTCTTTGGGTAATTCCAAACCTTCAATAAATTCCCTTATACGTTCTTTGGTAACTGCCCTTCCCCTGGTTAGCTCCTTCAGCTTCTCATAAGGCTCCGGAACATCGCATCTTCGCATGACCTACAGATCAAGTTTAAACAAAAAAGATGAATCAAAAAACAGAATAAGATAAGTGTACCAACCCCAACTGCTACTACTTTGAGCTTACAAAAAGATGAACAAAATGTATAACAAGATAAATGAAGATCGAAAGATACATACAGTCTGAATCGGCTCTGCAAGTACCTCCCATGCCTGGTTCAAGTCTTCACTTAACCAAGCTTCATTGACCTGGAACCAAAATGGAGCTTTAGAGAGATGGAAGTATGCAGAAAAGCACTCAAAACTACAGTTTACAGAGAAAACAGCCAGGGCTATTTCTGTCATGCGTGATATCAAGAAATAACCAAATCCAAATTTCCATTGACCTGGAACCAAAACGGAGCTTAAATCATTATGAGTTGAAAAAAAATACTAATGCTCCTTACTAGAGGTCATAGATGAATCATGAATTCCAAATTTTCACAAATTAATAACCAAATCCAGCACTTTACTAAGAACCTTCAGCACTAACATTTTGACCGTGCGCACAAGGGGATCGGAACGTTTCTGTTATGCAACATACCTGGAGCTTTCCTATTCCTTGTAATGCACTTCTGTAAGCAAGAAGGGAATGACCAAGTCCTCCCCCCATGTTCCTCAAGACGGTCGAATCAGTCAAATCTCGCTGCAAATTCAACACATAAGATGGATGTATAATGTTAAAACAGACTTATACTATTATGAACTAACTTTACATGCATAAAATTAAGCAGCTATCCTAAAACAGAATCATCTTACCTGCCAACGGAAATAGGCAACTTCATGCTCAGGTAAGCTAGGTCTCATTAGCCTTGCCACGATTACCTTCACTGTTTTCAAAATCAATAGGGTTTACTTTATGAGGCATTGTTGATGAGCCAATCTCACCGGCCTTAGTTATCTGCTCCAAATCTCAATCACAAAAAGATAATTAGGTTGGGGTAATAACAATGCTTCTAAACTGAATGTCACACAGTGCATCAAAAGAGTCACCTGCTTGAAGTATCCTAAAGATATGTAGCCCCATATATCTCTGTCAAAGTCGATCAATATATTGTTAAACCGGATAATTGCATAATAAAGGTTTGCCATATAATCATGTGTCTCAATCTGCAAACAAGCAAAAAGCATGTTATTCCAAGTGATGTGCATAAGCTCATTACATATCATACCAAGACAAGGCTAACTAGAAGTGTCCATCAAATCAGGTATTTACTTTTACAACATAAGCATAGGAAAGATACCCAAGTAACATAGGGATTAAACGTTAATCCAAGAGAAGTCACAAACTCTTCTGCAATTTGAGGCCAGTTAATAGATGGGCATTGTAATTTCCAACTGCACCAGCAAATTTTCCCATCATCTTAACTCGGGAATTTCTTGCATTTCTCTGCTTAGCCTAACAGCAAAGATGGCCATCTCCTTCCCCAAGGTTGTAGGTGATGCTGGCTGAAAGAATCCAACTATTTAGGTGATCAAATAATAACAGCCATCCACAGAGCAAGTGATAGTAATATTACATGCAAATAAAGAAACAAAAAAAAATTAAGCAACCTACGTGTATATCATGCTCTAGAAAGACCAAAAATTCAATCAAAAGATTATTGGTCAAGTGTCTACGACGCATTAAGAGTGAGAAGATTATTTCAGGAATGAAAGTACTCTTCTACCTGGCCATGTGTGCGAGAAAGCATAGAAATGCTTGCATTCGCCTTAGCAATCTTACACATTGCCTCGATCAATTCATCCATGATTGGAAACATGACTTTGGTCATCGCTTCTTTCAGCATCAATGCATGGGCAAGGTTGTTTATGTCCTCAGATGTGCAAGCAAAATAGAAAAATTCAAGGATCTAAAAGTAGAGAGAAAATGTTATTTGATCCAAAATGGATCACAATTTTTACCGATTAAACAAATTGTTGGAATGAATGAACCTGAGTCAAACATTAAGGATAGCATGCCGTTATATAAACAAAATAGTAAGTCCCAAACTTGGCAATTTCTGGCTGTGATTGGCATTTCTGTTTCAAGAAGTATTCAACTGCTTTTACATCATGGTTAGTTACCCTCTCTATCTTTTTAACTTCCAAGGCATCATCCATGTGTCACAGTTGGAAGAGAAGAACATGGAAACGAAGAGGAAAACGGTGAAGTAGGGAGTGAGATGCGAAGGAGAAATGAAAAAGGGGAATTAGGGATTGAAGGGCGAGAGGAAAATGAGATTGGGGAATTAGGGATTATGGCAATTGAAGGGCCACGGATGTTACCTGATGAAGTGGAGCCGCAAGTGACCAGTTCAAGCAATGGGGGAGCAGGCCAGAAAAGGATCCAAGAGGAGTCAACAGCCCAGTTAACCCAAATGGAGAAGGTTTAGCCCACGTGTTCAGTCTAATAGCCTGCAGAGAAGAGAATCTAATATTGTTATAATCTGTTATAAGGACAGCCAGCTGGCATCCTTTCAAAAGACTGAATTAGCCCTGTAACTAAATAAAATATGCTGTATTGAGAATGGGAACATTTTATGAGAGGAATGCATGAACTTTTTCTGTAAACTCTATCAACTTCTCTTCTGAAATCCCTTTCTTCTTCGCTATTTCTTCTCTAATATACCTAGATCGTCACAATTGGTATCGAGAGCCTCGGTTCTGGCAAGTAATCAGGAGCATGACAAAGAAAAATCAGAATATGGAAGCTGATTTATCTGGGTTGCAAAAGCAGATGGAGGAGCTAACAGCCTTGGTGAAACAAGGCCGTGATGAGACTAATCCACCGAAATGGTGGGAGACTCAAGAAAACAGGATTGCTGCACTAGAGGCAAGAATGTCCACTAATCAAAGTTATGTGGAGGAGCTGTTGAAAATTTTAACGGGCAAAAATGGGGAACAAGAACAGTCTGCAGGTGATCAGGTAAACACTCCTAATAACTCTAAGGATGGGGAGAAAAATCCTGTGTTAGTGACTGTAGTGAAGGATAAATCCAGATTCACTTATAAAACCAATGAACCGGGTATACTAAAAGATACGCCTGATGCTTGTTTCAACCCTAAGAACAGTAGTAGACCTGAGAATCAAATGGGGGAAAATAGTAATAGACCTATTATGATTGGAATGGAAGCTGAAAACAGGGGACCAGGGGGATCTTTTAGCAGTTATGGGTCGATGTGGCATAGACCTAAAATCGATTTACCATTCTTTGAAGGAATCAATCCTAGAGGGTGGCTTCAAAAATGTCTCAAATATTTTTCTATATGTAATATTCCTACAGAGCAGAGAGTAGAAGTAGCCACTATGTACTTGACTGGAAAAGCAGAAGTTTGGTTTGATGGATATATTATGCAGAAACACCATGTAACATGGCATGAATTTGAAGCAGATCTTTGTCATAGATTTAGTGACAAGACTTTTTCTGATATTGTAGAGGATTTACTAAGCTGACTCAGAAAGGGACTGTTGAGGCTTATCAGGAAAATTTGAAGAGCTACAACCTTATATGTTATTACAAAATCCTACATTACATGAGGATTTCTTTGTGTCATTGTTTATCAGTGGACTAAGGGAGGATATTAAACATAGGGTGAAGGCTCTAGATCCTAAAAATTTGCCTGAAGCATAATATTAAACATAGGGTGAAGGCTCTAGATCCTAAAAATTTGCCTGAAGCATACAAACAAGCCAAACTTTATGAATTATCTGTTGATTATGAAAATAGAAGAATGAGGCCCTCTTTTAAAAACCACCCTACCCAAACCCCATTGTTACTTCTAAATCAGTTTCTCTGCCAGCAATTACCAAAAACACATCAGTTTCTAATCCTAAACAGAGTCTTATGGATTATAGAAGACAAAACAATCTTTGCTTCAAGTGTGGGGAGAAGTTTCTTCCAGGGCATCAATGTAAGTCAAGGAATTTAAATTTGATGATTGAGGAAGAGTCTGCTGTTCCTACAGATAATGTTATTATGGAATCAGATCAGCAATTGATGCAGGAAGAAGAGGCTCTAGAAATCTCGATGAATGCTATTACTGGTTGTATTAGCCATAATACATTAAGGATTCAAGGAGCCATTAAAGGCAGACCAATTAGTATTTTAATTGACAGTGGGAGTACTCATAGTTTTTTGACTCCACAGTGGACTGATGCTGGTATACATGTAATTACACCATATCCTTTGGCAATCACAGTAGCCAATGGACAGAAACTTTATAGTTCAGCAAGATGTAATCAGGTGGAGTGGCAGATGCAAGGGCAATCTTTTGTTCATGATTTCAGACTCCTAAAGTTAGGTGGCAGTGATATGGTGTTGGGGGTGGATTGGATGAAATTATTTAGCCATATTTTGATGGATTTTAATCAAATGACATTGAGTTTTCAACATCAAGGGGAGAATATTATTATACAGGGACAACAACCATCTAATTTTTTGCAGCAAATTTCTGGAGCTACATTATTGAAAATGACAGCATCAGATTATCCTATTTTGGGTCATGTGGTTTTGTTGACTATGTCTACAGATTCAAAACCTGTTCCACCAGCTATTCAACCTCTTTTACAGAGATATCAGTCTATTTTTGAAGAACCTACTGGGTTACCACCTACAAGGACTCATGACCATGCTATTCCACTTAACCCTGACTCTACTCCTATCAATTTGAGACCTTACAGATTTCCACACAATCAGAAAGATGAGGTGGAAAAACAGATTTCTAGTATGCTTTCAGCCTCTATTATTCAGCCTAGTAGGAGTCCATTTGCTTCTCCATGCCTTCTTATCAAAAAGAAGGATGGTACTTGGAGGTTTTGTGTGGATTACAGGAAATTAAATAGCATGACTGTAAAGGATAAATTTCCTATACCTGTGGTTGAAGACCTATTAGATGAACTACATGGAGCAGTTTATTTTTCCAAGATTGATCTCAGATCTGGTTATTGGCAAATAAGGATTAAGTCTGAGGACATATACAAGACAGCATTCAGAACTCATCAAGGACATTATGAGTTTTGGGTATGCCTTTTGGACTTACTAATGCCCCTGCTACATTTCAAGCTTTGATGAATGAATTGTTTAGTTCATTTCTTAGAAAATTTGTCTTGGTATTTTTTGATGATATCTTAGTCTATAGTACTTCTATGAATGATCATGTTACTCATTTACGACTGGTTTTAGAAGTACTGCATCAGAATCAGCTGTTTGCCAAGCTGTCCAAATGCTTCTTTGGACAGAATCAGGTTGAATACTTGGGCCATATTATTTCAGCTGTTGGAGTTTCTACTGATCCTAACAAAGTGGAAGCTATGAGGAATTGGCCAGTACCTAAGTCATTAAAGTCTCTGCGTGGATTTTTGGGATTAACAGGCTATTACAGAAGATTTATTAAAGATTATGGGTCAATTAGCAAACCTTTGACTCAGATGCTTAAGAAAGACAATTTTCAGTGGTTTGATGCAGCTTTGACTGCTTTTGAAGAATTAAAGAGGGCTATGTGTGTTGCTCCTGTTTTAGCCTTACCAGATTTTGGTAAGAGCTTTTATTTGGAAACAGATGCCAGTTCTGGTGGTATTGGGGCAGTTTTATCTCAAGAGGGCAGACCTATTGCCTATTTAAGTAAGGCTCTCAGTCCTAGACATGCAGCACTCTCTATTTATGAAAGAGAGTATCTTGCTATACTTCTAGCAGTTTCCAAGTGGAGGCATTATTTAGAGAGTAAATCCTTTGTGATTAAAACAGATCATGAGCCATTGAAATATCTATTAGAACAAAAGCTGACTACTGCTATTTAAAAGAAAGGATTGACCAAGTTATTGGGGCTGAATTACACTATTCAATACAGGAAAGGTAAATCAAATGTTGTTGCGGATGCCTTATCCAGACAGTGGGAAGATCAGGGTGACTGTTTTACTATGAACACTACAATAATCATTCCAGGTTGGGTTCATGAAGTGGAAGGGAGTTATAAGGATGATCCTATAGCTACTCAATGGATTTCTGTATTATCTGTTACTCCTAATGATGATCTGCAGTGGAAATTTTCAGGAGGTATCCTTAGATTTAAGGATAGAGTTTATATTGGGGAAGCTGGATCTCTTAGACTACAGATACTTCAGACACTACATGATTCTCCTTATGGTGGTCATTCTGGCAGTCAGGCTACCTATCAAAGGATCAGGTCTTACTTCTATTGGCCTAGATTGAAAGCTATGGTTGTTACTTATGTAAGAGCATGTGCAGTTTGTCAACAGACTAAGGTGGAACATGTGCCTAAACCAGGGTTATTACAGCCTTTACCTATTCCTCAACAGGCTTGGGAAGTTATTACTATGGACTTTATTGAGGGATTGCCTACATCTTTAAGAAAGAATTGTATTCTGGTGATAGTTGACAAGTTTACTAAATATAGCCACTTTCTGGCATTAGCACACCCTTACACTGCTGCAGAGGTTGCCAAATTATACCTAGATTGTGTTTACAAGTTGCATGGTCAGCCTAAAATGGCCATTTCAGATAGGGACAAGACTTTCACTAGCCTCTTTTGGAGAGAGCTAATGAAGCAGTTAGGAACGAAGGCTCTATTTAGCACTGCCTACCATCCTGAAACTGATGGACAGTCAGAAAGAGTAAACCAGTGCTTAGAACAGTATCTAAGGGGTCTCTGTTTTTTCCAACCAAACAGTGGGCAAAGTGGTTGCCTCATGCTGAATGGTGGTATAATACTACCTACCATACTGCCCTTAAGTTAACACCTTTTGAAGTCCTATATGGCTACAAGCCACCTACTATGGTATGGCATACAGACAGTCCAGTACAAAGCATATCAGAGTTAATGCAGAATAGAGAAGAGATCAGGCAATTAGTCAAGTCTCAGTTAGAACAAGCAAGTAATCGAATGAAGCAAAAAGCAGATAAACATCGATCAGAGAGAAATTTTCAGGTTGGTGATTTGGTTTACCTGAAATTACAGCCCTACAGACAGACCTCTCTTGCCCTGCGAAAAAATTTAAAATTAGCAGCAAGATTTTATGGCCCTTATAAGGTTACTGAAAGAATTGGAAAAGTTGCTTATAAACTGGACTTACCTGAGACTTCCCGTCTCCATCCGGTTTTTCATGTTAGTTTATTGAAGAAACATATTGGGGCAACCGTATCGTCTTCAACAGATCCTCCTGTGATGGACGAAGTGGGTCAGTTCAAGATTGAACCAAGTCAGATTCTGGGCAGACGAATAGTTAAGAGACAAAACAAACCGATAACTCAACTATTGGTTCGTTGGACTAACCTGGATGCTACGAACGACACATGGGAGGATTATTCTGTGCTCCGAGGCCAATTTCCGAGTTTTGATCCTTGGGGACAAGGATCTTCTCCCGCGGCGGGTATTGTCACAGTTGGAAGAGAAGAACATGGAAACGAAGAGGAAAACGGTGAAGTAGGGAGTGAGATGCGAAGGAGAAATGAAAAAGGGGAATTAGGGATTGAAGGGCGAGAGGAAAATGAGATTGGGGAATTAGGGATTATGGCAATTGAAGGGCCACGGATGTTACCTGATGAAGTGGAGCCGCAAGTGACCAGTTCAAGCAATGGGGGAGCAGGCCAGAAAAGGATCCAAGAGGAGTCAACAGCCCAGTTAACCCAAATGGAGAAGGTTTAGCCCACGTGTTCAATCTAATAGCCTGCAGAGAAGAGAATCTAATATTGTTATAATCTGTTATAAGGACAGCCAGCTGGCATCCTTTCAAAAGACTGAATTAGCCCTGTAACTAAATAAAATATGCTGTATTGAGAATGGGAACATTTTATGAGAGGAATGCATGAACTTTTTCTGTAAACTCTATCAACTTCTCTTCTGAAATCCCTTTCTTCTTCGCTATTTCTTCTCTAATATACCTAGATCGTCACACCATGCTAAACCCATCAATGAGTCCTTGCAAATAAGACTGAGCTTCTGCACTAAAGCTTGGTACCTCAATGACTTCAGGAATTTGTGAAAGCATCAGCAACCATTTAATCTGCCAGAGAATTTATAATCAATAAGTATCCTTCTAGAAACCTAATAGGAAAATACACTAAATTCATCCACATCAACCAAAAGTGTGCTCATAACATTTGCATTCTATGTTTCCTGGCCTTTTCAGTTTCCTCAGACAACCTGTTTCTAAAATATATCCTTCTAAAGTGAGTATGATTGTAGAAAAACTGATCATAACCCTATCAAACATATACCATATCTAACACTCAACTTGAAGCCAAGTGCCATAGTTTGCATTTCACAAACTCATTTTACCTTTTGATTCACAGCACCCGATCTTTCACAATTCAACTATGTTAACCGAAATTTGTATGATTAATTCAATTCATCAGATGTATGAGAATTGATTTCAAACAAATTGCCAAAAAGACATAATACCAAAAGCCCCAGAGGCCAAGTTAGCATATAAATTAAGAAAAAATATAATTTGCAACGAAATTACATTATAAAATGAATATATAAACAGAAGGCTGATGAGAAATTTACCTCAACAAGAACCCTAAAGTAAATAAGTCCGTATTCACTCATATAGGGAGCTAAGTCTTTCACTTTACCCCAATAACGACCATCCAAAGGTGATAACGCGGTTAGAGTTGACAATTCGAACTCACAAGAATTATCTTTAGAAATATTAACCACCTAAAACAAAATAAAGGAATCAGAACAAAAATATACATATATCTAATCTTCCACCAAAACAAGCCACTTAAAATACAATGGAGAATCATATCTACCAATTTAAAACCTAATGAAATGCAGGTATTTGTTAAAACTAACGTGTACCACCTCAAAAGGCTAAAGCTTTTTTCCCTTCAAAATCCAAGCAGAAACAGAACGCCAGCATTAAAAGAAAACAATATTACAAAATCTAAACCGAGTAAAGAGTAAACCTCCTTGAAACCATGTCTTCTGCCAGAAAAAGTAGTGCAACGATGAAAGGACGCATTTGAGAATTGGTGGGTGTTTTAGTATTGTTCAAACGAGAGATGCTTCTTAAAGGTTGGATATTTTTTGTTTGTAAATGGCTTAAAACAGGAACATGATTCCTAGTGAAAACCCAGAAGAAACCATGGCATCCATTGAAAGATGGTAGATCTTGAACTGTGAAAAGAGAGGCTGAAGAGTCGGAGCGAAAATGATGTGCTTGGCGGTATAATTTCACTGGTCATTTTGAGGTATAAACCCTAACCTTTAAAGCCCAACTAAAACTGGGCTCTAATCTGGGTTGAAACTTTAAAGTATCTTTAGTTTATGGAATGTAAAATTACATTTAATAATAAAATTATTGTAATGTAACATTATTATGATAATGTTATATTACGTTGTTTGAACTGTTTAATAGAAAATTAATATTACAGTCTTTAGTTAAAGGAATATAAAATTACTTAGATATTTATTTTATTAAATTAATCTCGTGATATATATATATATTTTTCTTTAACAAGTTAATCTTTAATATTAAATTATAATTATTTGAAAAACATTAATAAAAATATTTTAATTATTATATTATCTAACTTTTAAGAAAAATATATGTAATATATAATCAATATATTTAGTATATAAAACTTATATTTTTGAATAATTTTTATATGTATCATATTTATTTATATAAAATATAAACATAATATAAAAAATAATATTGTGATCATTTTAAAAAATTATATTTTTTGCAATAATATCATTTCTCACCTCATAAAATTATAAAACGATTAATGTATTAAATATTAAAAATATAAAAATAATTTTAACCACTTAAATTTATTAATATTTTACTAAATCAAATTCTTTTTATATTATTATATTTATAATTTTGAATAAAGTTTTAATAAGAATTGAGAATGATAAATATGAAAAGAATTCATTATTCTAGGGGTATTATTGTCCAAAGGGGTAGAAATTGTTCATTACCTAATAATTTGAATGTAATGGCATTCCTACAATTTTAACAAAAAAATACTACTATTGGTAATAAGTTTTTACCTAGTAATGACCTTTTCTACGAACCAAACGTGTGAATACAATCCTAAAAAAGATTATTCACCTTGGCAATGATCTTTTCCGCGAACCAAACGTCCTCTTAAGGTATATTTTCAATAAGTAAATATGGATATTCAAATTATAAAATTATGCTTTTATATTTTAATCAATAATACTTTTACGATGGTATGATATATATTCAAAGCGGTTGAGTGGTAGATGAGAAATTGATACTTAAAGTAAACTGCTTGTGAATTATGTTAAGGAAAATAAAAAGATTATATTCGACATTGGTGGAACACTAAGTGTAGGAGGTGTTTATATACATGAACCAAGTTGGGTGTTGTAAAATGTGTAAGACAAAACTTTACCTCTCATGCAGGCTTATGAGGGTACTAATTACTTCATTATTCAAACTTGTGAATCTCTTATTTAAAATTTGTAAACATATCTTAGCGTCTATGTCAATTCGATTTTATAATTATATACGAGTAAATAATTTTATCTTTTATTTTAAATTCTATATTTATTTTACTTTGTTCAATTCAATAATAATATCAATTTATTATTAATCATTTTGTTTTGTTTTCGATTTTTTTTGTGAGATCCCATGAGAACTGATTTTCCTTACTTTGTTGTGATTTGTTTTGTTTAAATAGATAAGTATTACCTTTAAATAAATGTCGAAATTTGAACTCACACAAAGTGGAGGAATTATTTCATGGACCCTTCTCAGCACTTCATCTATGGTCCCTATTAATTAAAATTTATCCACACCATCAATTTTTCTCCATATCATTTATATAATAATTTTTTTTTTCTAAATCATCGTTTTCTCTTAAATATCAAAATAAAAAATAATTAGGGTTTATTTTTATTCTCAAACGTAATACTTGTTTGCCAAAATTCAAAAAATTGCAGCTAGGGATGGGTATGGGTCAGTTTCCGGTCAACCCAACCCGACCCGAAAATTATACACCCACCATCCGAATTCGACTCGACCTAAAAAATATACACCCTCCACCCGACCCAAATCCAACCCAACTTTTTGAGATAAAATCTAAATCCGACCCGAAATAATATTGTCGTAACATCCTTTTTATTTTAAAGTTTTTTACATTTTAAAAGAAAATTTCTTTTACGACTTATTTTGAAAATATTCATTTTAGGTTTGATTTGATTAATTTGATTAAGTTGCTTTGGAGTTCCCTAAGCCTTTGGTATTTTAAACGAATTTTAAAAAACATTTAAAAGATATAAATTGGTATGTATTTACCAAAAATTATATTTAAAGAGTTCGGGAGTAAATTACTTGTGGGGAAGACCAATCACCACCACAACACCTAAAATTGGTACCTAGTCACTTATACATCGTCATGACGGTGAAAACTATAAATTCGAATATAAAATTAAAGTATGATACATTTGTTGAATTTAATTAATTTTTATAATTTTTTATTAGGGAATATTCCTTATTTTAAGAAGAAATTACGGGATTTACACATCCTCCAACGGGAAGGCTATCTCATCTAATTATCCTTTATACGAGAAATATCCCCTCCTCCATGTTATCAAAAATCAAAAATAAAATATAAATTGACCATTGGTAATTGCATAAAATAACATGCTATTTAAATAGACATGCATTGCTATTATTTGAATTACAATAAGAATGAATTAATTATCATCATTATTTTTTTATAAAAATAAACTCGATTTATTTCAAGTTCACCTGTCGTTCGAACGTTGTCTTGAATCGCAATACTTCCATAAAGTTGTACTTATCACGCCCATTCTACGACATATGTTTTTGAAAATTAATTCGAGTGAAAATAATTTTAATAAATTATTGTCAATAAATATTTAAATCACTTGTAATTTAAATAAAGTGATAAAAAGCATGGAATATGCCTTACTACAAAATTATTTCCAAATTTAAAACTCAAACAAACTAAATCTATGTACACACAAGCCAACATTTAAAAGAACTAAACTAAGTAAATTAAAATGCTACTTATACACTGAAATTTGGACCAGATCGAAATAAATAAAAAATAAAAGGGGTTAACAAGTATCATTTTAAGTGAGAATCAAACCAGGGCAGTGACCAAAACAAAATACAGTCAAACTAGTGGGGTCTAAATTAGGAAACAAGCATATGTTAGCATACAGATAACATAAAGGGTTAAAACGAACTAAAATATAAATTATATGCTTAAATTAAAGATTAAGCCAAAACGCTTGTCAAAAAGCAATTAAGGGCTAAAATGTATTAAATCACAAATTAATAAACATAATAGGTGTAATACCCCAAATATCAGGTTAGTGACATTATTGAAAAGATTTAAAATTTGAGGAT